GGTTATTACAGAATTTAGATTTGGGGGAGGCATAAAATACATACAAATATTTAAAATGATCAGTGTAGTAATATGGCAGCAAAGAGAAAGTGGTAATCACAGAAAACCAATCGATGTCAAATGCAGCTAATATGCTGAATGAACTGTAAAGTGAAACTTGTTATTAAATAAGCACAGTAGCTTCATTCTACTGTATGATAAACTCAAGGATCTGGCCTGGATTCAAGAGATTTCAATAGAAGAAAAAGAAAGACCATGTGAACTGAGCACTCTTTTTGATGATTTACTATATCACAGAAGCACATAAAAGGATATAGTGGTGCTTGGAGGAAGATATTAAGATTGTTATTTGTTCAATTGTTTTGTGTGACATATAATACAGTGTTTCCTAATGTTGATATGAACTGCTATTCAGGAAGAAAGGGAAACTTGCAAATCGGAATTTTTTTTTGTATAGATGCACCAGTGGGATTCAATGCACAAGTGGAGAATCTAATCTTGGATGGAAGCATTTATGATTCATCTAGTGTAACAGGGGAAAAGATAGAATAAAGAAGTTTAATAAATTTGGCACTGGATAGATGTGGGAAACTTCTTGATTGCCTGAATTAGCTCAGTGGTATAAGAAACAAAATTGTCAACTGACTTAGGACTGGGAAGATTTGGAGAATTAGTTTCATAGAAAAGTAGAAAAATGAATTCATAGGATAAGTATAGGAGACCCCACTTCAGAGTTACATTGATTTTAAAAAGTTGTGTGTGTGTGTGTGTGTGTGTGTGCGGCGTGCATGCATGTACCCCGCTATATTTACATGCTGCTTTACAAAGCAGAAAGTTTAATTCAAGTGAAGTTGTAGTCCACATACCCCAGCTTCAAGAGTTTAATCAAGAGAGACAGATCAAACTGGAGGGTACATGCAAGGGGATAATTAAACATGTGGACAATTGGTTCTAAGACCTCTCTGCAGAGAAGTGAGGATGTGAGAGGCTGATTGATGAAAAATGAAAAAATCAGTAGTTTGTAGGTCATGGAGAAGTCTATTAAAATTTTAGAATCAAGGCATTTGAAAGATTAAATTATAAAAATAGAAGGTGATAGGGAGATAACTGAAATTGAGATTCAGGAGGTGGTTTGGTTATGTTAATTAAAAATCTGGGGTGCCTGGCTGGCTCAGTTGGTTAAGCGTCCAACTTCAGCTCAGGTCATGGTCCCACAGTTCATGGGTTCGAGGCCTGTGTCAGGCTTTGTGCTGACAGCCAGCTCAGAGCCTGGAGCCCATTTTGGATTCTGTCTCTCTCTCTCTGACCCTCTCCTGCTCACACTGTTTCTCTCTCTCAAATAAATAAAAAAATTAAAAAAATTTTAAAAATCTACGTATGACAATTAGAATGTCTGAGGGAAGATAGAAGAAAAGTTCATTAAAAGAGAGGTGGTCAAGGGACGCCTGTGTGGCTCAGTTGGTTAAGTGTCTGACTTCGACTCAGGTCATGATCTCTCAGTTCATGAATTTGAGCCCTGTATTGGGCTCTGTGTTGACAGCTTAGCCTGGAGTCTGCTTCAGATTCTTTTTTCCCTCTTTCTGCCCTTACCCCACTCATACTCAGGCTCTCACTCTCTCTCTCTCTCTCAAAAAATAAATAAATAAATAAATAAATAAAATAAAACATTAAAAAAATAAGAGAGGAAATGCAGAAAGTATAGAGAATAGATAATATGTTTATACTGAATGATCATAAATGATAAAATATACAATTGGTGAAATACAATGAAATGCACTAAAACCCTCACTGAATGAGGAGAAATATTAAGGGAGGAGATGACTTCAGACAGGAAGAAATCAAGTTATATTATGTGAAGGCATAGAGATCAATCAACGTGCTGGTCATTTTGAGTGTCCAGATGTTAAGGAATTTGGGAAGCTTGAGGTATTTGTGGGAACTCAGAAAACCTAGAATGTAGGACATGATGAATCTAACTCCCTAGCTAAATTAGAGAATTAGTCACGGTGGTCATGTTTATGTGGCTTACATTGCTCTTTATAGTCTCCTTTATGGCAGTGGCTCTTCAGCAGAACATTTAGGTGGAAGTAAAGGAAAGTATAAGTCTCAGCAGGAATATAAGGAGTTCTCTGGGTCTTACTTCAACCATACTATCTTACTGTATGAAGGCAAGAAATGAAGAGGCTTAGAGAGTAAATGCTAGAACTTTATGAAAGCAATGACATCTCAAGCCATCCCATCAATTATTTAACAGAGCAAAGCTTAATGATAAGTCTTTCTTAAGCTAGTATTATATATGATAGGGTGTTGGCCGCATATTATTTTTATTAATATTTTTGAATATAATAATGACCTTGAATACTCACTGATTCATTATTTCAGGCATATCCCGATGTTATAAACATGTCTTCTTTGGGGAAACCAAGCAACTAAAAATGCAAAACAAAAATTTCAAAATTATTGAACATTCATAAATGAAGAATTGAACTTATCAAGTATCTTTCATGGTTTAGGAAATATTTTTTTGCACTAACTTTTTACTCTTCTCAAGCACCTGGACAATTTTTAAACAAGTATGTATTCCTTTTATTTCTTTTTTGTTTAATAAATCCAAAACTATTATGATGAGTATTACTTTAGTATAAATATATCAAAGAAGTACTGTGTTTCAATTCAGAATTTTTTTAAAGGTAGTTGAAAAGTTTCAATATTTAGGAAAAGAGAAATATGTATAGAAGGATATCAAATGGAAAAGCAATAGAAGTTGGACCAAATTTACAATTTATCTGAGTCACTCAAATGCAATGTTGTAAAAATAATTGATTTGGAAATACTACAACAAACTGTTCTTGGTAGAATAAAAACAGAGTTTTTAGAGTTACTAGCTCAGCCATGCTACGACTGTGACAGGTTCATTTATTCTCAAATATTATAGCTTTTCTATTCCCAGTGCCTTTGGGAAACAAGAGTAGGGATGCATGAAAATTTTATAGAGTATGAAATACAAGATATAACAGTTCTTTTAGGATATGAGTCTAAATAAAGGTTCAATTTAAGTGAAATAATATTAAAATCATTCTTTATTAGCATCATAGTTTTTGCTATGTAAAAAACTTATAAAAGAGGAGGATATTAATATGGCTGGTAAAAGTGCAACAAGGATCAAGTAAGTGTGAAACAATATTATAAGAGAAATGAATAGAACCATGTTTTCCTGCTTAAAATATTTTTTGATTCTATATCTTTTCATAAAATTGCAGTATTGGGATATAGGAATCAAGCATACTCATCTTAATTCAATTTAGGGGGTTTACTTCAGTTATGTTTTTAAAAGTTTATTTATTTTGAGAGAGAGAGAGAGAGAGAAAGAGAGCGAGCGAGTCAGCATAAGCCCTGGAAAGGCAAAGAGAGAGGCTGAGAGAGAATCCCAAGCAGGCTCCACACTGTCATTATAAAGCCGGACACAGGGCTTGAGCTCAGGAAATGTGAGATCAGGGCCCGAGCTGAAATCCATAGTTGAACGCTTAACCAACAGAGCCACCTAAGCACCCCATCAGCTATTTTGAATATAGAAAAGTTTATTGCCAAGAAGACACGTTTATTACCAAACAGCTATTTTTACTCTTTTTTTAAATATTACACTGAAAAAATACATATAATAATATTACTTTACTATTATTAGAATAAAAATAATTCCAGAAACTGAAAAACAAAACCTTTGGTTATTGGGTAGATTAGTTTCATTAAAAAAAAAAAAAATAGGGGTAATTTAGTTGTTTCAAAAAATTATTTGAGAGGCTGACCTCATAGTTTTAAAATTCCATGTACTGGGGAGTTCAGGGACTTAAGAAACAACACACACATGCATGCACACAGTACTTCTCCGGTAGATTTTTATACCGTACAGCACTTATCACTATTGCATTTATTATTAGGCGGGCTTTATTAGTCCAAAACATACCAAATTATAACTTGGGAGATTTGTGTCCTATTTCTGGCTCTTGCTAGTTCTGTTCTATAACCTTGAACTGACCATTACCCTTTGAATATTCTTTTCTATAGCAGGGATAATAATGATGCCCTCATCACATGCATATTATAATAGCTTAAGGAGCTTGGGAATGGCCTACAGTATAAAAATACAAGAGAATATTTTAACAATTATGAAACGCAATAGAAGTTCCAAAAACAGACCTTTGCCTGCTCCTGAATTGCCAGCATTCCTCTAGAGGGTTTTATTAAATGTCAAGACTTTAGGCATTTAAGTTTTATGTAAGCCTTGTGGTAACCAGAAAGCAACAACCTATCATGGGTAGTACAGGGTCTGTATGGAGTTGTTTTGGGCACTAGTCCTAACTTACAGAGAAACTTTTACACCGGCTGGAGTCCTTAATATCTGTAAATGGAGGATGTCCTCACGTTTCTTGCAGCAGACACCCACTTACGGAGCCCCAACTGTAAGGGCACAAGTTTAAACCAGACTGACCCCATAACAGGTTTTAAGTTTCCCCTCTAAGCTAGAAGGCCTAAGTTTCAGTTTCCCTGGAAGTATCAGGCAGCTACACATTGCCCAAGGCCAGAGAAACCGCCCACCACATCACTCCACCACACTACCCTTGCAACACCCAGTCAAGAAAGGCCAGCAACTATAGATACAACTCTGTTACCTACTGTTAAAGTTAACCCATTAGGCGCCAAACAAGACCCCAGGCTCGCTCTGTAATTGGTTGAATTTAAAAGCACTCTAAATGTTGTAACTGGGTCTCGCCAAAAGTAACGAATACTCTAGACAATGTGTATGGTCAAACCCGCTGTCAGTGATGTTGTATAATTATGGTTGGATCACTGTTCCCACGTCACAACTTCTGTAACTCCCCCGTCACAAACCCCATAAAAACCCTACTCTGCCCTTGCTCGGGGCTCTCAGCACGGATCCACGGCGCAGGTGAAGTCTGGGAGCCCGAGCTCGAGCCCGTAATAAAGCCCTTTGCCTTTGCATGCGTGACTCGGTCCCCCAGGTGGTCTCTGGTCGGTGAGGATACTGCGATGTGGGTATAACACAACCTTAACTCCAAAACGGAACAATCATCTACAAAAGTAAAAGTAACGGCATCTATATTGTAAATCTGAAGAGAACCTGAGGGCAGTCCGTGCTGGCAAGTGGAGCCACCGCTGTTGCTGGAAACTGGCTGATGCTCGCGTCGTGTTCTCGAACACTTGCCAGCGAGGTGAGCTGGCCTTTGCGGCTCTCGCGGGAGCCACGCCTGTCATTTCGCTGCTTCGCTTCTGGAAACTTCGGTAACCAGATTCAAGGAGCCTCCCGTGCTGTGACTTCTGGCGGTAACCACTCTAAGGACCGACCGCTATCCTCTCAGAGGGGCTTCTTACGTTAGCCCGCCTATCCCTGCTCTGTGTAACGGGGACTCCGCGTTATCTGAGCGCAGCTCCCCTGTGTAAGGAGAGCCCCGGCGCCTGAGGGAGGCCGCCTCCGAAATTGTGCGCATGCGCAGCACCGTCTCCCACGGGCCCCCACGGAAGACACGCCTGATTTTCCTTTGCAGTAAATCCTGAGAGGCTCGCAAAGGAAAAGCAGGACCCAGGTAAAAGGGCTGTGAAAAGGACGAGTTTTGGGGCGCCTGGGTGGCTTAGTTGGCTAACCGTCTGATTTCGGCTCAGGTCATGATCTCACAGTTTGTGGGTTCGAGCCCCGCGTCGGGCTCTGTGCTGACTGCCAGCTCAGAGCCTGGAGCCTGTTTCAGAGTCTGTGTCTCCCTCTCTCTGACCCTCCCCTGCTCACGCTCGCTCTCTCTCTCAGAAATAAATAAAAACATTAAAATTAAAAAAAAAAAGAAAAGGACGAGTTTCAGGGAGAATGGACTGCTCCACCTCCCGAGTTTACTGCAACTAAACCTGTCACACAGAGGGTTTGTAAAACAGATATTTGTTTGTTTTTGTTTATTTTTAAAGCTGGCTTCACGCCCAGCTCCAGGCTTAAACTCATGACCCTGAGATCAAGACTTGGGCTGAGATGAAAAGTCAGAGATTTAAACAACTAAGCCACCTTTCGTTCCTAACCCCCCCACCCCAACTTAGAAGTTTTGTGGGGTTTAACGGAGGGGGAGGGTTAGTTAATTATTTTGAGAGAGAGAGAGAGAGAGAGAGAGAGCGCTGGCGAGGGCCTGAGAGAGAGCGTGAGCGAGAGAAACCCAAGCAGGCTCTGCACTGTTAGCACAGAGCTAACATGGGGCCCCAACTCAGGAACCGTGAGATCATGACCTGACCGGAACCAAGAGTCAGAAGCCTAAGGGACTGAGCTGCCCAGGCTCTGCCCTCCACCCCCAGACAGATTTTTAAACAGAAAGGAGAGGGTAGAGTGCTGTGCAACTTATCAGTGGCCTCCATGTTGTCTTTCACAGCATGGCATTTTGGGGTCTCATCCCTCAAATGAAAGTCTTACAAATTGGGGCACTAGCTGTGTGTTTCAAACATTTTGCTTCCCAGGAAGAAGCTGAGAGTTGGGCATTCCCTACTCATTTTATGGCGCTGTGTCTGGGTGGGGGTTATGGTTAACCTTTCCTACCTCTTGTCTAGTGGGTATATTCTCATTTGCCTAATGGGAAGGACTCCTTCATCCAGTTACCGGATTTCAAATTGCTCCCTGTGAAGCTGTACATTCAGTTCATTCTTGGGGGTCGGGGGACTGTTCAAGAGCCTTTTATGTCACCCTTTTAGTCCCTCCCTCTTATTCTATTTTAAAAATAGGTAATTCATCAATTCTGGATTTTGTCTCCAATATTTTATTTTATTTTTTAAATATTTTATTTTTAAGTAACCTCTAAACCCAACATGGGGCTGAAATTTACAACCCCTAGTCAAGAGTTGCATGCTCTATTGACTGAGCCAGACAGGTGCCCCTCCAAGATTTGAGATGTTGACTTATTTGTTAAAATATTATGCTGGCCAGGGGCACCTGCGTGGCTAAGTCGATTGAGCTTCCAACTTTGTCTCAGGGTTCAGGACTTAAGGCCCCATGTTGGACTCTGTGCTGACAGCTCAGGGCCTGGAGCCTGTTTCTCATTCTGTATCTCTCTCTCTCTCGAGACCTTTCCTCTGCTTGCACTCTGTCTCTCTTAATCTCAAAAGAAATAAATAACAACATTTAAAAAAAGTATTATGCTGACCAATAAACATATCTGACAAACAGATTTCATTCTTGGATTCCCTTACATCTCTTAGAATAAAATTTGCTTGGAAAAGTAATAGTAAGTCGAAAGGTTGCAGTAATAATAAACATTTTGTTCAGGGTGTGATCTTCTGTCCTAGGACTACATTTACTTTTTGGTGTTACATTCTGTCCTTGGTAATTAAGATTCCTCAAAAGTTCATAACTTCTTTGTTTAGCAATCTCTAATTTACAAATCAGATTACTTGAGACCATTCTGCTTTTTCATAATTTCCAAGGATAAAAGATCAGCAATGAGAGCTAAGTAAGCGTTTGATGCATAAAGGTAGTTAACTTCTTGGATATACAGTAGAAACATGTTACTTATAACTAATCAGTCAAGTAGCAAGCCATCTGCAAAGTGATATTTGAACTCAAATACCTCACTGACCCCAAGAAGTTCAAATTTTGTATATTTATTACAGTTTTTAAAAACAATGTCAATCATAGTTTAAATTAGAAATTGCTATTTTAAGCTTCCACATGGGGCCAGGGTGATGAAAAAATAAGGAAGACTGCTAATTTGAAATTTTCTCTAAATAACCTTATATATCCTTACATGCACTTAAGAGAAAATCCAGGCATCCATCAAATTCTTTATTATCCTGAGAAAGGAAATGCAGAACTAGAACTTCTTGCGGAATTAAGTAACCTTTCAAGACTTGGCAAGAACACCAAAATGTTAAAAAAAAAAAAGCAACTTATTTTTGGACTGGGATGCTCTACTGGAAATCAAAACAAAATATACACATGTTGATCTTAGAGATAAGAATACCTGTGTTTAAATATCTACTTTGGCATTAAATAGCTATATACTCATCTTTATCTATTGAAACTTTATTTTTTTAGCAAATTATGTAAAATAGCAAACTAATTATTGTATTAATTTATATTAAACTTTGTTGTTTTCCTACATTATTGAAACAATCATCATCCTTTAAGATAATTCATTTGTAAAACTCTATTCTTGAAGAGACCTTGACTGAGATAAATATGCTATTTCAGGTAATTCTGTTGTTTTTTAAAGCCTACTGAAGGAAAGCATATTGTAAGAATGTGTGTGTGTGTGATGTGTGTGTGTGTGTGTGTGTGCGTGTGTGAAGTTGTTTACTAGTATTTCACTTAAATCTAAGTTTTGGAACTTACCATCATCCATTTCGTATTATAAATAGATTGGATTGTTCCATTACATATATTATTCATGCTGAAAGCAATTACCTATGTATTGATACCAAGCTAAGTATCATCTTCATTTTACAGAGGAGAAAACAAGGGCTCAGAGATTCAAGCTTAATATCCTGCTTTTCATAAAGTCAAAACTGCACCAAAAGAGAACTCAAAGAACACTGAACTGAACTCCAAAAGAAAACATATTACTTTTCTGAGACCATTACTTATTCACACAGCCGACTTGATAAGAAAAAAAAAAAATGACATGCTATCAAATCTTCATTTATGTAAGTATGTGATTTAACTACTTCAGACATAAAAACATTTGAGTAAGAAAATATAGTTCTTTTTTCTTATAAAGCATTTCAAAAATCTTCATTGTTCACAGTGCTTGAGTTTAAATTTAATGTGGACTCTTGACTTTTGTTCACTGAAGCATTTCCTATTAGCATTCTAATTACATCAAACACACATACTGGATCTGTTATTTTGTGCTTATTATTTCCATATAGGTTTCATTGAAAATTAGGCTCTAACTTACATTATCTCAAAGGAGTTCCAGAACATGACATTTAGTACTTTAGAAATCAAAGTTGCATTATTTTTTTATGTTGTAACCATATTGGATGTATGTGTGCCTCTTGTCTTTCAAGCCTGAAGTTAATTTCCTGAAATGTGCATTTTAACTGTATGATAAGCATTGAAGTCCAAAAAAGAGTTTGCTTCAGTGAAGAATAACTAAGCTATAGGCATTGCTTTCAATCTTTAATAGAATGCAGGTTACCCATTAAAAAGCAAATCCTTCATTTCATAAATTGAATAGAAAAATTATTGAAATAATTATAACTGGTTAAAGTAGGTCACTTTGAAAACTTAAATATAAGTATCTCTCCAGAGGGCTTGTAGTATTTTTATTTAATTTTGAATAGAAAATATTTTCATTTATTTTAAACAATGAGTGTTTTGTTCTCTTCCCTAAAACTAGAATTGATTGGCATGAATAATTCAGCATAAAGTCTTTATTTAAGAATAAATTATGAAAATTTTATTAGTTTTAGATAAACACATCTTCAGTATTCATTGAGATTAAAACCCTTACAAAAAATATTTATTCTTCCACTTTGCTAGCAACTCAACCTTATGATACATAGTATGGACTAATACTCTTGAAAAAAGATAAAAGTATAGTGAAAATGTTAAATGTTAAAAGAAGAAAATAAAAGCCAGCCTGAAAGTCTGTATCTAGTGAAATTATCCTTTAAAAAAGAACAAATATTAAGAAAAATAAAAATTGAAAACTTTTTTTAGTAGAGCTGTATGAGGGATATGTTAAAAGAAGTTATTTAGGGGAAAGGCAAATGATACAGTTCAGAAATATGGGTATATCTAAGAAAATAGTAGTATTATAAAGGGATTAATTATAGATAAATTAAAATATTTTATTTTCTCCTTTTTAAATTTATCTAACAGCTAAGATTTTATTTAAAGTAATAATAGTAACAATGTATTAGGCGGTTATAGTATGTAGATAAATAGAACTAAATGACAGATAAGTTGTGAGAGACAGGTGGGAGAATTTGGGAATATTCTGTTATAAGGTGTGTGTACTACACATGAAGTCTTGCAGTGCTATTTGAAAGGAGATTTACGTTAATTGTAAATTATATTGTCAACATCAGGTAAACGCTAATAACAACAAAGAAGTATAATTAACATGCTGAGAGAATAGAAAATGAAGTTGTGAAAAGCCGTACTTCCAGCTGTTCAGAATTTCTTGTTGTCTATTGTTTGTTTTGTTTTGTATTATTGCCAGCTTCTTTTTGGGGTTTTCAACAAATGAGGACAGTTGTATTCATTATTTTATATCTTTATGTATTTTTTTTTCTTACTTTGACTAGCTAGACTCTTCTAGTACTTTGTTGAATAGAGGCTGTTAAGAAGAGGTATGTATCATTGTCTTATTGTGAATGTAGGGAGAAGCACTCACTTATTATTAATTATGATGTTAGCTGTAGGTGTTTTGTAACTGTCTATTACTAGTTTGAAGAAATTCAATTTTATTGGTAGTTTTCTAAAAGCTTATAAAAGAAATGGATGTTGCATTTTGTGAAATGTTTTTCCTGCATTTATTGAGATTATCATGTGTAAATTTTTAGATTTGTTTGCTTGTTTTGTCTTTCTATCCTATTATACATAGAAGTAGATAAAGTTTTTTATGTTCATTGATTTCTGGATTTTAAACTACTGAATTTTCCTTAGATAAACACCACTTGGTCATGGTGTATAAAGGTTTCTATATGTTTTCAGATTTAATTTGTTAATATTTTAAAAAATATGTGTGTATGTTCATGAAAGATATTATTTTGTAGTTTTCTTCTTTTTTCTTTCTTTTTTTGTCTTTATTTTATATCCATGTTGAGGTAATAAAAAGAGTTGGAAAGTCAGCATAGGATTAGGATATCTTTTCTAAAGTGTTTGATAAAGTTAATTCAGTTTTATTTATGGAAAGATTTTTAATTAGTTCACCTTGACTACAAATTTGATAGATTCTTAATTCAGTTTTGGTGATTTTTGTCTTTCTAGGAATTTGTTGATTTCATCTCATTTGTCTTATTCTGTAGCATAAAGCTATTCATAATATATTTTTAAAAATTATTTTAACATATTAGAATCTATAGAGGTGTTCTTTTTGATTTCTGTAAATTGTATTATAATGACCATATACACTGAATATGTTTCCCTTACAATGCTATTAGAAAAATTCATAATCAGTGCATTATGTGAAAATAAAGTGTTTTTATAATATCATACACATAAGTTCTTAGTCTCAAATAATTCAAAGAAAAAATTTATTTTTAAAATTTTATCTCACTTTTTATATTTCTGAATGTTTACTAATAACCTATTTACTCATTCAGTTACACTAAACTTTTTCATTCTGCTATTTTAAAGAAGTTAGGTAAATGTTAAAGAAAAAAATGGAAAAAAACAACTCTGATCTTTAAGAGTTTTTCACTACAGAGTGCCTGGGTAGCTCAGTCATTACGCATCTGACTTCAGCTCAAGTCATGATCTCACAGTTCTTGAGTTCAGGTCCCACATTGTGTGTACCTGAGCCATGCTTGCGGTGAACATGCACACTGCCTCCGATGAGCCCTCCTTCTCTCTTCCTCTCCCTCTATCTCTCTCTCTGCCCCTCCTGGGATTCTCTCTCTTTCTCTGCCCCTCACTTGCAACTTCTCTCTCTCTCTCAAGGAAGGAAAAAAAAAAAAGATTTTCTTACTACATAAAGGATTCTCAGAATTGTAGCAGCCATCTTAATTTTAATGACAATTCACATTTCATACCTAACAATCTCCTACTATCCCATGTGTTATATGTTATGTTTAGCATATGACATATTGTCATATATAGCATAAGACAGTGTTTCTCAGGGTGCCTGGGTTGCTCAGTAGGTTAAGTGTCCGACTCTTGGTTTCAGCTCAGGGTATGATATCACAGTCATTGAGTTCAAGCCCCCACATCTGGTTCTGTGCTGACAGGGTGGAGCCTCCTTGGGATTCTCTCTCTCTCTGATCCTCCTTGCCTTCTCTCTCAGAAATCAATCAATCAATCAGTCAAACTAAAAAAAGATAATATTTCTCAAACTGCAGATTTTTAAGAACCTTGGGTCTGCACAAATTCTGACTCAGCTCCTGTTCAGCAACTTCAGGTGATTTGATGTGGTGGCCTAACATACTCTTAGTGAGCACTGTTCTAAGAGAACCATGTAACATTGATGTCTATGCAGATCAATATAGAGTTTCTTTTTATTATTTTCCTCAGTAATAACTATCTATTATCCATACTTTGCGCAGTCAGGCAAATGTTTGATAAATACCATTTGGTATAACATCAAAGTCTGGTTGAATTTAATTTTTATCTTCATATTTGTTATGCAGTTTACTGTTTTATAATTCTTGAGAATAATACTGAATTTTATAGAAAAATAGAGAAGTTTCCAATGTAATCTGATCTTTAAAAGGCTTTAGTAGTATAGCACAACTTTCAAAATAAAGAGACATACCTGGCTTGATGTATGCATTTTTCTTCATGTGTAAGGTTTATTGACCAACATATCCTCCTCATAGACCTCAAAGCAGACTTGTTTCCTTCCATGTTTGGACTGTATTATTACACATATATGTGTTTCTGTCTTAAATGGTCATTTGTGTAAGTTAATATCCAAAATGCTGTTTTTGTTTGTTGTATTTGCAGCTTGATTGTGAATCAAGAAATATAAATTTCTCATCTCATTTTTCATTAACATTAATTTCAAAAGTAATGATTAAGACTGTAATGTGATTTCTATAAAAATAATGATGACTCAACATTTCAAAATTGTGAAATACATGTCAAAAGAAAACATTGTTTTAAAAAACAAAACTGCCAAACCACTTGATAGCACTGACAGATATGATGGAATCATGTTTCCAAATAAGTATGTGTACTAATCCCCAGACTGATGAATATTATCTTACATAGTATAGGAGACTTTGTAGATTTGATTAATTTAAGGAGATATGTGGGTGTGTCCTGTGAAAGCACTAGGTTTCATAGAAGTGGAAGAGACAAGCAAGTGAGAGAGATGGAGGGAAATGTGACCACAAAAGAATGGTCAGAGAGATGCAGTGGTGTTGATTTTAAATATAGAGAGGCTACAAGTGAGGAATCAAGCTGCCTATGGAAGCTGGCAAAGGGGAAAAACAAAAAACAAAATAAAAAAAAGATTTTATTCTAAAGCCTCCAGCGTTAAAGGCAGTCCTGCAAACAGCTTGATTTTAATCCAGGGAGACTTGCATCAGACTTCTGGCCTATAGAACTACAAGATAATAAATGTGTGTGTATGTCAGCAACTAAGTTTATGATAATTTATTATACCATCAATAGAAAACTAATATAACATGATGAAATATTGTAAGCATGAACTATCAGTGAGTGACTTTCAGACCAAACTTTGCAAAACACTAGAAAGGTCATAAATTTTGACAGCAATCAGAACCATTAGAGATGGTCATTTTATCAAGGTGTAAAGAAATAAAAGTTGGACAATTATTAAAATTAAATACTTGAGTTTATCCACTCAAGTCGACAAAAACACCATGCTTATATTTACCATCATCATTACTGCAGTAGAAGCAAAAGCAAGCCTTACTTACAAGTAGGTTTTAATGTATCTATTAAACCTGATTTTAATTGATTTTTATTAGTGATGCATTCTAATCAGAATATCAAAAGCTTATTTGAC